TTCAGGCTCAGGGCCAGCGCCAGGTCGGCGTCCAGGCTGCGCTCGCCCGATTATGCCACTTTGCACTACTTTGTCAAATCTGAGAAAAAGCCCGTCATAGAGCGATTAGACCAGCATTCAGGATAAAACATTTTGACAATCATCAAAAATACTTCCTCCTCTAGACTACCCCTATCCGTACCGGGTGCTGCCGCAGGATGTACGCGCTTTGATGGAGCGATGCAGCACCGTCATCACCGCCGGCAGCTTCCTGGTACCTGATGGAAGCTTTTTGAGGCTTACTGTCACATTACGGGTACGGCGGTGACATACCTCGGCACGTCCGACAAAAGCTTCCGCCGCGCGTGTGCTGGGCCATCGGTTCGTTCAGCGGTCACCGCCTGATCAACGGAGCTCACCTAACCCGCCGGCGCTAAGGGAACAAACTTCGAGGCCCTCGTGGATGAGATTCAGAAGCACGTGCCTCTCTGTCCCACCTATGAACAAAGTCCAGCTTTCTTCAAGGAGTGCGCAACGATATGGGAAGAACAGAAGCTCCAGCTAGACCATCATGCTGCGAGGTATTGGAATGGCTGGACTATTACTGATCCTAAAGGGGCGAATATTATTCTCGCGCTGCCGCAGATTTGGCATTCGCATGGCAGTGAATTCGCCGAGAGTTTTTTTAGGCACTATCATCAGACCCATGAAAATAAGCTGCGCAATGAAAACGCAGAGCTGAATTATTTCCTCGACTATTTAGCCGCGAATGCGGTTGAGTATTCGCCAGAGACGTTTGGCTGCCCGATTCGCATTAACAACCTTTTTTAACAACTATCTGAACGAGAGTTGGATTAGAACTTCTGGTGCTGGCATAGAGAACGAATCAAAATCAAAAGTTTATTCGAAATTCATAAACTCGATCACCGAGAGTTTCTTAGATTCGGGCGTTTGGTCAAAGCCGTTTAGTGGCGCACTCAACAAAGTCCCTATTATACCAAAGTGTGGCTCTCTCACTAAGGTGATCAAAAATGACGAAGGCCGAGAAGTCAAAAACAATCTTATCACTGAAATTCCACTCGAGCTGACAGACTCAGAAGCTATTGAAATACTTTTCAAGAAGATAAAAATAGACAATACACTCGTATTCAAATGGGCGAGAAGTCGCTGCTTGAAAATACGAAAGAGGCAGCTCCGTCGCATTCGACTGGCGAAAACCGGATTTGTGATCACGGATAGGCATCCAAGCGCCAAATCGATCGCCGATATTGGCGTAGAAAACATTTGCGCATCGTTTGAGGCGCATGGGTTGCCGTTCTTCCGTAACGACTATCAAAAACGCTTTGGTACCATGCAAAAAGCCGAGATATCTAATGAAATTGGCCTACCTAAGGGTTATGACTTCATCGCTTTTCAAATCATGCTAGTCCGTTCGCATCCTGATATAACTGAAAGCTTTTTCAAAGATTTCGAACTATATGATAAAAACGGCAAACTCTCCGGCTTCTTAAAAACCAATGCCGGCTACCAGCTCATTGGATACAAAGATCGCAAGGGAGGAAAATTAAGCGAACAGAAGATCGATTTATCTGCGCGTGATGCTGTTATGGTGAGGATGCTGATTCAATTGACCGATCCGCTCCGTAAAGAGCTCAGGGAAGCAGCTATCGACGATTGGCGATATCTATTTCTTCATTGCAACCAGTACATCAATCGACCCAATCGTCCCGGGATGAAAAGATGGGGTGGATATACCGATAAAGAAACGATGGATGCGATTGTGGCAGAGTTCGCAAGACACAGCCCTCTCGGAGATACTGAGTTGCGGCGGCTTGTTAACCGGGTCTCGATTACCAACTATCGGCCATCGGTAGCTGTTGAAAACTATTTAACTCACAACAGTGTAACAAAGCTTGCTCGAAGCCTCGGCCATAAAACGTATCGAGCCGACCTCCTGAGCTCGTATTTGCCACAAGTTATCCTGGATTTCTTCCAAACGCGCTGGATAAGAATATTCCAGAAAGGCATCGTTCTCGAGGCAATGAAGGATAGCCCTTATCTCCTAGAAGCTAGCGGCTTTGAAAACATGGATAAACTCCACGAATTCTTGTCAAACCACGCACTGAAAGACATCCCTGAAGGCATGAAATCACCAAAAGACCATGCTGATAAATCACAGAGGCGCGTAAACAAAAAAAGACAAACAGAGAATTTTAATATCCATAAGCAATCCCTTGATGACCAACTTGGTTTCGTTGCGCGATGCAGTCAATTCTGCATCCAGGCCAGACCAAGTAAACGCCAAAGCGAAATATTGGGCTGCCTTTACCACGCTGATCTCGGCTAATATACGAGAAGGGTTCGATGAACTCCTGCAGGAAAGCCTTACTCTCGCCGAGTCGAAAACCAACCCTGAATCCATGATGAAGTTTATATATGAATCTGCCGCCTAAATTAGCGTTCCTGAAGAAATTCACACAAGATCCACGCGAGGTCTATCGGAGCGCGAGTTGGCTGCAAAGCGATTTTGATGACACTCGGTGGTATTACAACTTTGGCTATACCCAACCACTGCACATCGATTGGTGCGTAAAGCTGTCTGATGGAAGTATGCTGACAGATGAAAAAAATAAAATTCTACTAGAGAGTTTCAAATATTATCTAATTGGCGCAACTCGAGACGCTCACTCGAATGAAACCACATCTAAAGAGATGAAGTCCAAGCGTTTCTCTACTGCCTGCTGTGTGATCGACTATCTGTTGATTAATTGCGCCAGATATAAAATTATCGAATTCAAACTTGGTGAGCTCACGTCCGGCAACCTTATAGAGATATTAGAGACAATATCCCAAAGCCCGAGCTCTCACGAGTCCATCCACAATTGGACGAGCGAGCTGAAGAAGTTCTGCTTAGGATTGTTAGAGTCCACCTGCGCTGAAAAAATCGAGCATACCATAAGCCTTACCCCTCAGATGCTGAATATAACGGATGAGCAAAGGGATGACGACACCTTGGGTATTGAAGAAGCATTGATTCCGAAAATCAGAGCGTGCCTGTTCCTGCGAGGGTACTACTACAAGGGACGGCATGGAAGTCAACCTAACTCAGCTTTGATTTCAAGGGATATCTATAAAAGCTGCATTTGGGGCAATACAACACAAAAACCAGTCAACCTAATCTTAACTTACAATGAAAACTCTTGCCTCTTTGAAAGAGAGCATCCACGCGCACAAGTACGCAAATCTGATGAAGAGCTTCTGGGCGAAAGCGGTTACGCTTCCTATAAGCATGCGGTGTATAGCTTGGGAAACTTACATGAGGTGGGATACCCCGCGCCACCAATTAGCGCCTTGATCGAAGCAGAGAAATTCAAGCCTAAGTTGTCGAAGCTGGGGCGCTTTCAGACCCTCCCATCAGAAGTGGCCTTCAAATCCATTCGCAATGCTATTGAATTCCATTTCAAACACGGTAAAAATCTTGTTGATGCAATGTGTCGAATCGCGCTGGAGTGCCGACGACTCAAAATACCACCGGCGGGTTTGTCTTCCAAAAAAATACGCCAACTGGTGGGCCCAGAACTGGTAGAAGTGGGAGTAACGAGGCTTTCGTTGGGTATCCCTGGTGAGGATCATGATTATTCGACACCTCACAAAGGAAACAAAGACGATTACTTCACAGACCTTAGAGCTAACCGTGGCCTCTACGAATTGATCTGCGTTTACGTAGGCGGCATTCAACTCGTGGTTGGCATTTTAATGGCTCGACGCATGAGTGAACTAACCGGCCTGATGCCGCACACCTGCTTGGACATTTCAGAGACCTGGCTGATTTTTTTAAATGCAAAAAGCACACGCTACGCTTTAGGGAAGCGATTAATCGAAGCACGCCCCATTGATCCGATTGCAGTGCAAATGATTAAAAATCTGATACGCATGCAGAAGATCCTCAAGCGCATAAGGTTCATAAGAAGCTATCAGAAGCTTTTCTCTACTCCGCATCTCAGAGGAGCGGCTAAGCTAACCAAAGGCAACTTCAATAGTAATCTTGATATTTTTTGTGATTATTTTGAAACTCCACTGAATAGCCAAGGTAAGCGCCTATATATTCGACAGCATCAACTGCGCCGTTTTTTTGCAATGATGTTTTTCTATTGCAGTAAATTTAACAACCTCGACACATTGCGGTGGATGCTCGGCCACACAGACCCTAGCCATGTGTGGCACTATATTACTGAAACAATAGATGGCGCTATTATAAGAAGCGCAGGTGCACAATATCTGAGTGAGCGTCTCAAATCCGGCGACCATTCAGAATATGAAGATCTTGCGATGCTGGTAAAAGATCACTACGGGACAGATGATGTCGAGGTGATTGACAGCACGGCGATTGAAGACTACATCACTGAGTTAATGGTAGAAGGTTGGCTTGAGGTCGAGCCTGAGTTCTTTACCAATGAGCATGGCGAGAGCTACAAGATTGTGGCCAAGCTTACAAAACCTGGAAGCGTCTGATGAGCAAATCAAACAAAGACATACAAATATCAGCAGGGATCAATGCAATCCAGCAGATACTCATCGATGTTATCAAGCGTCCCAAAGAGCATGCAACTGACTTGGAACTTCGAGAAGCATTAAAAACCCAAGCCAACCTGGCCAAACTTCAACGTACCGTATTGACAGAGTCGGGGGATGAAATAAACACATTCCCAATGAGTTTGAATTCACTTAAGACGCACTCTGCTCATCTAATCGCCGGCGGCTATAAGTCACTTGACGACTTACGTCGAAAAGCCTTTGCAGCGTTAGAATACTCTGACAAAAAGTCTGCAAGGGCCAACAAAAGGACTAAGTCCGGCCTGAAGCTCAAGGTAGAAGAGCTCGAGATTGAGTTGGAAATCCTACGTCAAACAAATCTGATCCTCCTCAGCGCCCTCAGTGAGGCTTTGCATCAGTTCGTTGTTATACGTGACGGATCCGACTCCGCTAGTCGCGAAAATCGCGCAGAAACAGCATCAAATACCCTGAGAGCCATTGTGAGCATGAATAGCCATCCGTTCGATCAACTCGCTCGCCCCTCCCCGACTCCTAGTTTAGAAGTGACAGACTTAAATGCGTACCGTAACCGATAAGCCGGCTATGAGCGTAAGCCAGGAGAAGATCTATCATCTTCTTGGAAGTTTCGAACTCAATCGGCGTTTTTCGATCGACCGTCTTTATAAGCAAGACGCTAGCAATATTGCTTATATGGTGTGGCCTGATAAGTCGCCATGCCTGATAGGAAACCTATATATACTCTCTTTGGTAGGACGGGTTGGACGCGGTGGTCGAGAAGGATTATCTAGGAGGGGTGACAAGGGTGGTACGATTGGAGACTACGCAGCTAAAGTCAGCCAGTTACTCAAGCGCTGCTATCGGGATTCGATTGAACCCAAAGATCTGACCGATGCCCTATTTGGAGAATACGTCAAAGAGATGGCCAAAGAAAAGTCATCCAGAAACCCTGCGAGTGGAAAAAAAGCGGCGCGACAGGACTCGCTACTGGAAGGGTTTGGCTGGATTTTCTTAATTTTGTAGGCCACTTTTACGGAAACCCTAATTTTGTGTCCGAAAACGGTGTGATACGAGTTAAGAATGAAAGTGTCGCGACTAAAGGTAGAGGGGGTCGCTGATCTGGCGAAATTATAAAACTCACAGCTCCTTTACTTTCTCCCGACGAGAACATCGACGAGATCCCATCACCACTGCGGACATTGAAAAATTAACGACTGCTAATCGCACCTCTACATTCAGCGCTTTTGTGCGAGAACGCCGAGCTTGCCTACTCGACTTATTTGAAGCTACAGGAGCTAGACGAGACGAGATACAAAACGTTTCTGCAGACGATATTCTAAATGCACTGGATCACCCAGAGTATAAGTTAACATTAATCACCTTAAAAACTGGAGGAGACAACCAAACAAGAGAAGTACATGTCCCATTCATGACTCTTAAAAAAATTAAGACACACATTGAAAAAGCTCGAAGAAACATCATAAAGAAACAATACAAACTAGGTAGAGACCATAGAAAACTATTCATTTCAGAGCGTACAGGAAAACCCATTTGTGGCCAAACATTATCTAACGAAATCGGTGTTCTCAGAAAGCTTGCCGGAATATCGCACCAGGTGTGTCTACACATGTATCGTCACGCTTTTATCACCAAGAAATTTCTACAGCTTTTTAGTGAACACCAGATTAGCAATCAGGATCAGTTTCGAAAAAACCTGATTGATACAAAGACATTTATGGTAGAAATACAACAAGAGACAGGTCAACTCAACTCTGACTCTGTTGAGCATTACATTCATTTAGCATTCCGCGACCTTGCAAACTATGACGACACTATAAAGTCGGTTAAGCACCATCAAATCATGGAAGTCTACCTTCGCAAGAAAAAAGAATTAAGAGATTCTCTCCTGGAAGGAATGTCAAAGGAAGAATATGTTGCTTGTGACAATGAACTCGATGATTGGTTAAGGCAGGATTTAGCTGTTGCAGAACGAGCGCGGTCGATGCTCCATAAAAACCCGGTGTTGTAGTCAGGGTGATGGAAGAATGAGATTGGCAGGGCGCACTGGAAGACGGCTCCGTAAGTTCACCTTAACCGTACCCGTCTCTGCTCGCCGGCCTGCAGCACTTCAATGTGAAGAAATGGCATAAAGGCCAACCGAAGGGTCTTAAGTCAACGGTAGAGACCACGGGCCTAGTTTGGCACGGTACATATCACCGAGGAACCGAAGATGCCAACAATGTTGCATCTATTATCAAGGAGAAACTCAGCTGATTAAGTAAGCCGGGGCCATTGGCCCGAAGGAGCGATCTCACCATTCACTGCACACCACCTGTTAAGCCGGGCGAGCGATGACTCGAGCGCAGAATGATTTGAACGCAACCTTCCCTCTCACCGCCCACGAGGTCTGCCAAGTGCTGACGTACGTCGCGCTGGGCACACGCATCGTGATGCGCAGCACCACCCAATCGTGGAATAAGATCTATCACGGCCTCATGCCCGTGGAGATTGATGGCTGGCAGTTCACACTCTTCAACGACTGTGACACCCTGGACTATTGCGACTACTGCAGGTCGCCTGATGGTAGAGAGTCGGGACACTCGAACGCTGGCAGCGTGCCGGAGCCGATCCTGTCGAGCTATTGAGCACCTGGGAGCGAGATCAGCTTGAGCGGCTGCTCGCTGCCCTCTGAGCCTCCATGCAAAACGGCAGGTGAGGGTTTGGCCACTGCAGTCATCTTTAAAGCTGCATCCAAAACTGGAGCTATGACATCATTTTCATCACAGACGATTGCCTCCAAGCCTTGGTAGGCTTCCCGATGAGGCGCTACAGGAGCTCGAACTGGATGTCGGCGGCGCTGTGTACCTGATAGAAGAATTTGTCGGCAACACGCGCTGCCTCGTCCTATCGAAAGATCCTCAACTTCGGATCGAATAGACGAGCGCACTGAGACCTGGAATAGCGGACAAAAATGATGATTGACACGAATCGTCTCTGGCAGCGCGAACGCAAACGCCGCTACGCACTTTGGGATTTGGAAACGCTGCAGCCTGGATCTGACCGAGCAATTCAGTGCGTTGCGATTCTCGATGAAGTTGAGCGCCAAGATCGAGATGACCCCATTGGCGATGCAGCCGCCATGTCGGTTGAAGAGCTACGTGTATGTGTCCCAGAAACCGAGATCGAGGGAGTCAGCGGATCCTACTCTGTAGTCGTACTTGACGAGCACATACCAGAACCTTGGAAAACTCGTTTCCAAGAAGCGAGCGCCGGGTCTACGCGTTTGCGGCAAGGTTGTTATGCGAGAGATTGGCATCGCTTTTTTACGACTATGGATAGCCGAGATGCAGCACCTAGCAGCGCATAGGGAGACGCGTTAGAACCTGATGGGTATTCGTCAGAGGACGCCAGGATGATGGAACCCATCTAATAGTCCGCCTGCCGGGTCTCACACAAGAAATCCCCTCTCCAACTGGCCGATAAGATCGAAGACAGCTCTCGCCTCCACTCTCGTCCCCAGCATGTCGAGTGGACAGTTCGATCCGAGCCCTCGCACCGGCGAGCTCATCCATTCCGTTGCAGCTGCAACGTCGTTTTCGAACAGGGAAAGGGCTTCCTCAAAGACGGCTACCAATGCGACGAGGCGGTCGCTTTCTACGGCGTTGAACCGCCCTGCTTTCGCTCTACGCGCTAACGTCGAGGGTGATATGCAAATCGCCTTGGTGATAACCACACGCTGCGTCTGCAGAAGGCTCGCTATCCGATCAAGGTATTCGAATGGCAGTCCTTCGTGAACCAGGTCATGAAGCATAGTGCCGCGTGATGGGAGCCCTAGGGTCATCCAAAGGCTCTGAGGGATCTGGGGCCCTGGTTGGTATTCCTTGATCGATGACAGCACCTTCACCTCCATCTGAAAACCTACCACCAAGCCGGGCCTGGTGGCCCGAACCAGCGACATCTCCATTGCCCGCCGCGTAGGCCAATCCGACTCGAGATGACGAGTTATCGATAAGTAGCTAAATCATCCTAACCTCTCACGAAATAGTGTCCACCACATAGCCTGCTTTCGAAATCTAACCTAGGCGAATGAAAAGCGCTTCAAGCACGGATGTATCCCGGTACAAGGCACCGGAATCCTGCGTACGCTGACTCGAATTTGCTGAGCGTTTCCTGGCCGAAGTAACCTCCGGAATTTCGTGAGCGGCCCGGTTTACGTGGCCCGCAGCCAGCCCGAATCGAATATCGGGGGTTTTATCTCCCACCCGCCATCAGCAGCAGCACTGGCACCGCTCGGTGCGCAATCGGCCTAGGGCACCGGAATCCTGTGTACGCCGACCGGAATTTGCTGAGCGTTTCCTGGCCGAAGCAACCACCGGAATTTCGTGTGCGGCCCGGTTTACGTGGCCCGCAGCCGGCCCGAATCTAATATCGACCCAAACTCATCGGTGATGGTGGATGATGAATGAAACAATATCCTTTTATAGATATCTCAGATGACCGCTGATCAATGGCTTATTCCGCCCCTGCCCGATTCGATTCCTCCGTCGATACTGGCGAAAGCAGACGTGCTTGTAACGAAAACAGCTTTCCTTGCCGGCCTGCTCGCACCTGAAACTGCAGCATGCTTGAGCAGACAGCTGAAGGTCTCTGACGCCGAGTCCTCGAGGATCATCGACGGGCACAACACTGACCTGGAGGTGCTGGAAGACGCAACCAACTTGGCTAGCACGCAGTCCACGTTGGGGGAAATCACCGAGCTTCGTCGACGTCTCATTGCGGCGCTAGCCCACCACTATCACCTTGTACAAACTCAACCGCTATCTGACGGTATTGGGGCTATGGCGAGGCTGGTCGTTCATATGCATTTTGCTCAGATCGGAATGCATCCGCACTTGTGGTCGCTGCCTCGTGGTATAGCTTGTAGACGAGAGGAGTATCACGCTGCACTGGGCCTAACTGGTAGCGAGCAAGGGCGACAACCTTATGGTGGTTTTCAGCGAACAGACAAAGCCCTTCTCGGCTTCATCGCGTTTATGCTTGATGTCTGCCATGAAGAGGTCGACTACATGAGTGCGGCCCTAAATCGCCGCAAGCTTCGTGAATCAGTTACGAATGCGTTCAACACAAACTCACGCTTAACAGAGGCCGGAATCAGAGCAGAAATTGCACCAGCTTTCCTGGCGCTGCTGATCCAGGGCGCGCTTCCTCGCTCTGAGTTCAAGACTTTTACCGGGCTTCAGCCTGAAGTAGCCAGCAATCAAGTCGACAGGTTGATCAACATCGGCCTAGTGATGAGTCTGCCATCTGACGTCAGTCTGCTGGAGGTAGGCTTACCAATTTGGTTGGCACACGAAATCCTTCCGGGTCTACACATGAGCAGATAGCTCTGATCGCAAAGATGCATCCAGGATGAAGCGACGAATACGTCGGACATTCGATGTTCAGGATTGATGTCGAGCCGGGCCGTTTGGCCCGAAGCAGCGACATTTAGAAAATGCCTCGACAAGCCGCCTACTGCTAAGCCGCCCTCCCGCAAAGACGAGCGCAGTGCACTGTCATAAATTGTCTCAGCTGAAATCCGCCCCGTTCTTGAATTCGGTTCCTTTTGCCGGTACTTGTAGGTCACAAATGTCATGCACGGAAAGCAATCATGCAAGCAAGATTCAGAGTGATTGAAACCATCAAGCTGGACAATGGCAGCAAGCGATACAGGGTTGTTGATCTTGAAGAGGGAGGCTCAGCTAGCAAGCATGGTGTGTTCAAGATCAGGGCTGAGGCAGATGTTGTTTGTTCGCTGCTGAATGCCGAGCACCCACGTCAGAGCGGTGTAGGTCGTGCTTCCGCGAGCTCCTGATCCACTCGTTTCGCAAATCGGGGCCGGATGGGTATGCGGGAGTGAATGCCTATAGCGCAGTCACGGATTCCCGTTCCGAAAGGACGCTTTGAAGCCGCTCAAGATTAAACCGCTGGCACTCGCTCTCGGCTTTTTCTCGTACCTGGTAGTTAGTCTTCAGCCGCAGCTTCTCCTCATTGTCATAGCGGTTGAAGCCTATGGCAGCGGTCTGACAGTAGAACCGAGATCCGTTACGGATCGAGCCAATTTTAGTTGGAATTGCAGGGACAAAAACAAATCTCGAAATCATCTTCACACCCTCTCCTCGAACCTCATTACTATTTGCAGCTATTTGCCACTACAGCAAGTGATCTGCACCAGTTTCCGATGACAAGTACAAATGCCCGAGGAATGGTTCGCAGCTTCGCAAAAAGCTGATGTGAGGCGAACGACTCGGCTGGGGATGACCGCGCGGGAGATCAGCCAGGTGCTAATGGACATCTCGATCGGAAGACGCATCAGAAGGCGGAAATCCATGGCTTCAAGCCCGTGGAAATTGATGGCCGGCAGCTCACGCTTTTTAATGACTGTGGCACCTTCGCTATTGCGAGTACTGCAGGTCTCCTGACGCTCAAGTCGGGACACTTAAACTCTGGATTATTATCTCGAATCAGGAATCGGAATCCACAAGCCATTGAAATCCAATTTATCAAATAAAAACTTTTTCATAGTTTCAATTTTATTAGACGAACAAAACCACACAGGCGAAAAAAAATCTACTCCTGAATTTTTTGTCACAACCTAGCTTTCCTGCTCAAGTAAAAATCACTGTGATAAGCTGCGGCTGGAAACGGTCTGCAAACCGCTAATTACACCTGTCAAAAAAAACCCCATTAACGGATAACCAAATAATGGGGAAAATGCGCCTACACAAAACTCTGTGGCCATCTAGAAGATGCAAGCCTTCACAATGCCGTGAAAGCGGTGCTACAAGGCAGTACTACGCTCCTTCAACGCACTATTGAGGATGAAGTCGTTCTCAGAATAATCGACAGCACAGTCAATGGTGCGTTGGTGGAGCGTAGTACTGCTGGCGGCTTGCATCTTCTAGATGACCCTGAAGGTGTCTTAGCACCTCCCAGTATTTGTTGTCCGTGGCTGACGAGATGTAACGTCAGCCGCGGCATTGATTTTACTTGAGCGGAAAAAATTCGGGAGTAGTTCGTCTAACTAAGTGAAACTATGAAAAGTTTATTTGATAGGCCGGACTCAGTAACTGACGTTCCCATTCTGATTCGTAGGCTCCGACCAGCGGTAAGCGTGTTTTCGACCATCATTTCCACGGGAAGCGGCGTGATCTCCCGCGCGATCGTATCCCCCGGCACTCATCGGCTGAACGCCATTCTCGGCTTTGATAAATCGGCAGATCGCTGCTGCGGTTCGGAGTGGTGATTTCGAGATTTGTTTATTCCCCACGGTGGCAAATGAGCAGATCTCATTCTACTGTCGAGACCGCTGCCATAGGCTCAGCCGCCCTTGACGAGGAAGAAGCTGCGGCTGGCTACCGGAGCGGTATCGCCAGCGACCAGGCGACTCGCGTCGCTTTCAGCATTCGCTTCCGCATGCCATCCGTTGCGGCGAGTGGTCAGGAAGAGGCTACCGCTCGACGTGGTGCTCGGCATTCGGCGAACAAACAACGCCTGCCTCGGCGATCTTGGCGCCGTAGCTTTGCCCAGCTGTTTCTCCTCTTTCAGATCAACAACCCTGTGCGCTGCTGCCATTGACGATGATTTCATTGAACATGTTACTCCGTACGCGTTCATTGTGTTCCCATGCCGGCAGAACAGTAGGCGGGCGGGCAGCTGGTAGTACTGGTGCCTGGGAGGCGGCGTGAGCGGCTGTCGGGCATTTCTAAGCTAAGCAGCTCGGCCCCGGCGCTCGACGTAATCCTGAAACGTCCCGGTCGTATTCATCGCTTCATCTTTGCGATCAGTAGCGCAACCGTAATAGACGACGATTTGTGTGCCAACAGTGTGAAATACGGCAGACGTGTTTGAACTCATCGCTAGACGACGTCGATTGCTGGCCACTCGAGCCCGGCAGACCAGAGCAATACCTGTTCCAAACGGTTTGTGTTGTTCACGTCAGCTGTATTCTGGCTTAGCATTTAGAGGCCGCATCTGTAGTCGACCTCTTCATGGCAGTGGCTGCTAAACGATAAGCTTTGTCTGTTCGTAGCCACCATATGTGCTCGCGGTTAGGCCCAGTGCCTCTCGTCTAGCTACCGGGCAACGACCTGGCTCTGGGTCTCTGAGGCAAATCCTGGTGCCGGCCTAAATGCTGATTGTTGTGGGTCAGTGACTAACGCCGCTAACGTCGACAGCTTCGGTGTTAACGTGAGCCGATGCTGTAGGTGATCCTCGGAGCTCGAGACGCTCGGCTATTCTGCTCAACATGCTGCCGAGTACTTGGCGGCGAAGCCAGGCACTGGGTTTGGCGCGATCTTGAAGTCGAATCCAGGCAGAGAAGTGATGTCGATATTAGCCGTAAACCAGGCCGCACCTCGACCCGCTCGTATTCGATCGTACACACGGATTCCATTAACCTAACCAATCGACCCCGATGTTGACCACGTAGCCAGGCCGCTTCACGGAGATTTCGACCGGAGCGCTCGGCTGAAATCGAGTCATGCCTCCGGGCCAGCGCCTGCCGAGACCGCTCCGTGCTGGCTTTCTTACAGGTTATGTGGTGGACACTCATTTCGTGGTAGGATGATTTTGGCTTGCGACTGGCTCGTTGACGCGGCGGGCAATAGCATTTCGGCCGCTGATGGTGAATGGTGAAGGTAACGTCATCAGGAAGTACGGGGCCCCGAATCCCTCGGGGCGCTGCGGATGACCTGAGACTCCCATCACGCGGCGCAGCTTTTCATGACCTGATTCACGAAGGACTGCCGATCGTACGCTGATCGGATAGCAGCGCTCTGCGGCGCGCAATCGGTGGGCGACCCGCATATCACCCTCGACGTTGGCGCGTAGGCTAGCAGGCGATTCCAGCACACCGGCTTTGACGGCTGGCGTCTTTGAAGCCTATGTTCGGCAAACGACGTTGCAGCTGCAGCAAGTGAATGACTCACCGTGCGGATCGAGCAATCATTGTGAAGGCAGGCGCCGGTTTCTTTATATTGTATTAGATGGGTTCCTCTGATCTCTGACGAACTCTTATCGGAATTCTTTGCACTGGGTGAATAAATGCTTTGATATCTCTCGCCAACTGTTCTGCCCTGTACAGGCTTCCGGCGCTCGCGCTGAAAGCAGGTTGCGGCTGTAACTCGTCGAGTACGACACGAGGCCGTCGCGCGATCGTGCTCGGATGGACACGCTGCATCGGCTCTTTCAACCGACATGTACCAATGGCGGCGCTCAGCTCGTCGAGAATCCGCAACGCGCTGGTCGGGCATCGGGCTGCGGCATTTCCAAAGTACGTAGCATTCGCTGCCGGCGATTCGTGTCGATCATCATTTTTGTCGCTATTCAGTGCTCAATGCGCTCGTACGGTAATCTTTCGATAGGAACGGCGCGTGTTGCCATTTTAATGCGACATCAGTAATAACACCTCCGGAAACCTACCAGCTGGTCTGTGAGTAACAGCTCCAGTTTGGATGCGGCACTGCGGTGACCTACTGAATTTTACATGGGCTCAGAAGGCGGCAACTGATCTCGCTCAGGTAGCAATGCTCTGAGATCGGCTCCGGCACGCGCCGGCATCAGCCGTCGACGTGTGCAGCCGGGTGTCACAGTCGGTGGCGACTGCCGCTCCACGGGCATGGTGCCGTGACATTCACGATTGGTGGTGCTGCACCATCACGTGCGGTGGTGTACCGTCGCGGCAGGCCACCGATGAGCGGTGCGTTCAAATCGTTCTGCGCTCGGTGGCACAGGTGATTGCCGGATCTCGCCCAGTGGCTACCCGCCAGGTTTCTCGCGGTAATAGATGCAGTGACCGGCATCTTCGACTCGTTATCTGAGCAAAGACCCTTCGATTTGACGCTCTCGACAATGCTGCAGGCTGGTACGAACGGTACGGTGGGTGATTACAGACAGATCTTCCGCCCTGTAATCTCGTGGCTTCCACCTGTTGTTTCCGGGTTTTATGGGCATCGACCTCGTTAACGGCATCTGCAACTCATTCATCAGTTCGACATATTGTTTCACGGCATTCCTTCCGGGAAAGTCTCTTGGCGGCAGACTCCGTATTTGTTAGCAATAGTCTCAGTTAGATGCGGAAGTAACAAATATTGTGCTCAACAGGATCGAGTGAATGTCTTTGTATCCATCGGTTTTTTCGAGCTATTCACCGATTGCTGCAGTGTTTACTAAGCCTGGCTGGCGGTGACAAAGCACGACGACATTTGTAGGCACGCACCGGTGCGTATTCCGGCAGCTTCTGAACACCATTTCAGAGTTCAGACATCTTTGACCTGAATGGGCTTTTCCCTAGCGCATACAGCTAATGGTTTTCTATGGTCTCTTACCTGAACTGTATTGTTTCAACACAACTTCGACTTTGATGATGTATTTACAAGAATCGTAACCTTTCTTGTTTTGGTTGTCACCAGTTTTAAGGTGATGTTAACCTGGTGATCCATTAAATATCGTCTGCAGAAGCATTTTATTTCATCTCATCGCTCTGTAACGCTCGGCGTTATGGCTGAACAGAGGTGCGATCCAGCAGTCGTTATTTTCGTGTCACGGTGGTGATGAGATCGTCGGAAAAGCGTGGTTTGCTATTTCGCCAGTCTGTCGCGTTTGCTCATTAACAGCATGTCTGTTTTCGGTGGAGTTTCCAAAAGTGGCCTACAAAGCAAGGCTCCAGCCAAACCCTTCCGGTAACAGTCTCGCGCCACTTTCCACTCACTGTACGCTA